ACAAGCTTCCTGGCACTTTCTCCTGTTTGTTTCCCAGGATACACCCGAAGGCGCCTGAGACCCGCGAACACCCCTCAGCGGACGCCGCGTGTGCCCGTGGGAGGCCTGCCGTCATTCCAGGGGCCTTGGCAAGTTTCCCTCTCTCTTTATTCGGAACTGAGCTGTGTGGCCCCATGCAGGCAGCTCATTCTTTCTGAGAGAGGGATGCAGAAACCGTCAAGGGGCTCAGCCTCCCACCCAAGTGCTGGCAGAGCGGGAGCCAGGTGCAGGGTGGGCCTGCAGGCCCCGGGTGTGACTTTGGACCCGTCACCTCTCCAGCTTCAGCCTCCTTCTGCTGCAGGAGGCGGCTGCCCCCATGCCAAGGGATGGGCCCTGAACTGAGGTCAGGGCATCTTCCCCCCATTCTGGGCTCACCTTCGCAGGTCCTGTTTCCCCAGGGCAACCGTCAGCTGGGACTTTGGGTGGACACTGTTCCCCAGGCCCTGGGCGCTGAGGCTGTGGGTTAATGCCATTTATCACCATTTTATGTTGTTGGCTGTGCTATGGAAGAGAAATCGGTCTCTTTACCCATTTCTTGGTCCAAAATGGGAAATCCTGGGGCCGGCCCCGTGGCCGAGTGGTTAAGTTCGTGTGCTCCGCTTTGGCAGCCCAGGGTTTTGCTGGTTCGGATCCTGAGCATGAACATGGCCCCGCTCATTAGTCCACGTTGAGGCGGTGTCCCACATGCCACAACTAGAAGGACCCACAACTAAAATATACAACTACATACTTGGGGGATTTGGGGACCAAAAAAAAGCAGAAAAAAAAAAAGAAGATTGGCAACAGTTGTTAGCTCAGGTGCCAAACTTTAAAAAAAAAAAAAGGGAAATCCAAAGACAGATGGGGGTGTCCGTCGTGGGGGGACGTCAAGTGCCTTTTCCTCCTGTGTGAGCCTGCCTGCCCTGTAGACAGGGTGGTGTGTCCTGGACGCGTGCAGCCAGGTGGTCTCCTCCTGTGATAAAACCACACCACCCTGCAACTTGGATGCAACAGCCGGAGCACCGTCTCCAGAAAGCAAGCCCCAAGCCCCACTCCTTCCTCAGGGCCCGCTCCTCCCGCAAAGACCCCTCCCCGGGAAGCCCTCCTCAATGCGGGCTTCGTCTGCGACTACCGCTGGGGACGGTGGGGTCGCCCGAGGGCTCCGGTGAGTCTGAGGGGATGCCCGAGGGCCCGCCGGGGGATATGGGGTGCAGACAAGAGCCGGCCCGCCCCAAGCCCCGAGAGGGAAATGGGGTAGGAGGGGGGGCTCCGGCTCGGTACGATGAACGGGGACGACTGCCTCCACGTGCGCGCCGGGACTGCCACCACGCGGGGCGCGCAACACCTGTGAGCACAGGTGCAGCCCGCCAGCCCTACCCAGGTGGGCGCGGGAGGCGCGGACGAGGGCCGGCTCCGTGCGCCTGCGCCAGAGGGGCGGGGCCCTAGGGGGCGGGGCCTCTTGTGTGGGCGGGGCGATGGGGGCGATGGCCCGCGGCGGGGCCCCGCGTGGGCGGGGCCTCAGGTGGGCGGGGCGGTGGCGCGCGGTGGGCGGGGCGGCGTGACGCGCGCCGACGCCGATCCCGGAAGCGGTGTCAGATGCTGGGAGCCGGCGGGCGGGCGGGCAGGCTGGCGGCGGGCGGTGGAGGGACTTGTTGTTCTTCGCGAAGTCGGAGCCCGAGCGCGCGGCGGAGGCGGCGGCCCCGGGGGAGCGCGGGAGGGAGCGCGAGGAGAGCGCGTGCCCGCGAGGAGCCGCCGCGCGCCCGCGCCCCCGCGCGACGCCAGGTGAGGAGCGGGCGGGGTGGGGCCGGGGGCGCGGGGCCCGCCCGCCGCTGAGTCACGGCCCCGCGGACCCGCGCGGAGTGGGGCTGGACCGGGATCCCGCGCGCCGGCCCGCGCACCTGCCGTCAGGTGTCCGCCCCGGGCGGCCGCGGGCTGGGGGGGTCTGGTCCCGCCCTTGGGCAGATCGCCTTCCCCTGGGGCCGGGGAGAGCCCCCCGATCCCAGATCCCCGATCCCTGCCTCCCCCGGGGCCCGAGCTCGGAGGCGGTGGGCGCCCCAGCACAGGGCGGGCGGGGAGCCCGGCACCCCCCCACCCCACCTTGCTCTGCCTTTCCCCCCCACCCGGGGATCCGCTTGAGGCGGGAAGGCGGGGGCGAAAATAAACGCCACGTGCCGGGGAGCGCGGGCAGCGCGTGGTCTCGCTGGGCAGACCCGGCCTCGGTCACCTGGGCGCTTCCGCCGGCCCGGCGTGCTGTCCTGCCCGGCCCTGCGGCCACTTCCCACCCGTGTTCGCGGCGGGGGCCACGCCTCTCTGGGGTGGGGAGGGGAAGGACCCCGCAGGGGACTTCGCGGCCCGAGGTCACGTTCTGAGCAGCTGACCTGCCAGCCGTTTCCCGGAGAGAGCCCTGCTCTGGAGGCGTGGGGTGGGGAGGGGGACAGGGCGAACGTGTCGCTTCCCCCGTGGCCCGCGGTCTCATTTTCCACATCTGCGAACGGGGGGGGGCCTCCGTGTCTTCTAACTCTAAATGCGGCTTTTTTTCTGTGATTCTGCTGACTTTGGGAAACAGATAATGTCTCTGCCTCTTCCACGCGCCTTCCCCGGGACCTCGGAGGGGACGCGGCTATTTGGCTGGGTGCCTAGGTCTGCCCCAGGAAAGGCAGACCGCCTTGCCATCTGTCTGTCGTGGTAGTTTGTGGGGTCTTCTGGGCAACGCAGAACACATGCTGGAGGGGCCCGTGTTCGGGCTTGCTGGAAGTTCCCTGCTGTGTCTTGTGTTAATGATTACGTTCCTTTGACCTTTCACACAGCTGTTGTAGCTGAGGCAGAAATGGGATGTCCCACCTAACAGTTCATTCAACAGTTGACCAACCCTCAGCCACCTCCTCTTGCCGGGTGCCTGGCCTCGGGAACCCGACACAGAATCACTGGGCTCCCACGAGTGTGGCTTGGGTGCCCACCCGCTCTCCCCTGACCCGTTTACTGGCGTTGGTGAGGTTTGCTGTCACGGCGATCACGGAGCAGGTATCTTGAGAAAGTGCAGCTGTGTGTCCTGTGTGCCAGCTCTGGGGCCTGGGCTCTGAGCCTGGTGTCTTTGGTGGGGGAATGGCGCTGTTTAAAAAAAATGTTAGTCTAAGCAGGTGGGAGAGGTCTGGGAAGTTGCAGGTGGGCTGTGCAGGTGGGTGGGGCACACCTGCAACCTGTTGCATTGTGGGTAGCTGACAGGCTTCCTAAGCATGGCCCTTCCTCAGTGGTGACCCAGTAGGAATGTCCGAGTTTGAGCTCGGGAGAGGGCGTCTGCTTTCATAACTTACAACTAGACCTCTCTTTATTCCAAAATAAAATGTTTATTAACTCAAAAACACAAAGCGAGGCTTCTCCCCGGAGCGCATTTCCTTTTGTGCTTGAAGGTCGCTGGACTTTAAGGGCCCGGGTCCAAGTTCAGCGTCGCTTACTTTCAAGGTGGTTGCTAAAAATGGGAGTTGAGTCGAGGCTACTGGGGGAGTCGCTCTTCCTGAGTGCGGGGCTTGCTGCGTTCCAGCCCTTTCTCCAGCGCCCAGGCTGCCACTGCGTGAGGTCGGGTTCCGGTCTGTTCTTTGTCCGCCGTGCACGCTTTCACTCTGCGGAGTTTGTTTACAGTCACAGGCGACCTAGAAGAAGTCCTGCCTGGGTCTAAAGGTTTCTGGTGTGGACTTTCTGGATTCAGGGTCCAGTCCACACGGGAAATGGGCTGGGAGCGTCCACTGTGAAGCTGCTCCCCCTGAGCAGTAAACAGTGACTCACCCTCCCTCCCCCCCAACCCCCCCACGTTCTCTGCAATGGGAGATGCATCGCTCCGCTATTTACTTTTGCTTTTTATAAGTCACGGGCTCGTCGTGTTTCCTCTTTCTTACAGTTTCAGGAAACTGAAAGTGTCACCTTAAAGTCATAGGGTTTCGGAGCAGGTAGAAGTGAACCTAGGTTGGCACACAGTCCACACACACACACACCCCCGCCCCCATCTTAGATGAGGAAACCAAGTCCCGAGGGTTCTCGCCTGGCCTGCGGTGGCAGAGCCCCGGGTCCAGGGTCCAGTGGGGCACCCTGCCTGATGTCTGGGCGTCCTGGGCAAGGGGTGGCACAGAGGTGTGGGGTAGAAGGTGTCCCCTAGGCTCCCTCCCTTCAGTGCAGTGCTGACACACCTGTTTGTGCGGCCCCTGTCACCTGCCAGGAGTTGGGGGAGCGGGTGTAGGTCAGAGTGCCCCCTGCTCTCCGCCCAGTGAGGGAGGCAGGGCTCCAACAGAAAGACCAGGCGCCCACCCATTACAAGGAGGGCAGGAATGGGGCTTTCTGGTGAAGCGAGGGCTGGAGAGGGGAGGGCAGGGGTGACGGGAGAAGGGTGCGAAGCCAGTGCAGATTGCGGGGGGGGGGGGGGGGGGCTGCTGTCAGAAGCCAGAGGTGGAGGCCTGGAATGGCGACAGGTGGCCAAGGGAATGGGCAGCTTGGGAGGGACTCTGAGCCAGTGGGTCCCTCCGCCTGCCTGGGGGGCTGCATTTGAGGGACTGAGGCAGGAGTCCTGATGAGAAGCGGGGGGCCAGAGCATCTGCAGGAAGACTCGGTTGAGGCCAGCAGGCTGGGGTCAGCGAGCGGCCGTGGAGGGAGAGGTGAGGCCTGGGGGGTGATGTCTGCGTGAATGCCATGGTGGGTCGTCTGAGCTGGAGACACGGGAGGGCAGCTGCGGGAGACGCGTGTGTCTCGGGCCTGTCGGTTTTTCCAGGGAGCATCCTGGCTACACGTGGAGGTTGAGGCTGACTGGAGCCCTGGGCAGCATGAGATGGCTGGGGAGAGAACAGAACTCTGAAGGGGAGCCTGGAGGCGGAGGGACCACCCGGAGGGGTGCAAGGGGAGCAGGGACTGGCCTGAAGCTGGGGCTGTAGGAGCGAAGGGCCAGTGGGAGCGAGGGGCCAGCGGGAGCGAGGGGCCAGCGGGAGCGAGGGGCCAGCGCACGGTGGGGGGTGTGGCATTCAGCCTGCTGTCAGCCCGGCAGCCGCCTGAGTCACCTCCGGATGGAGCCAGGATGACACAGCTTCCTCGAACCGCAAACACAAGGTGACCAGACGTCCCCCAAGCCGGGCAGACAGTCTTGTCTTGCCGGAGGGCAGCCAGCCAGGGCCAGCCTGCAGGCTGGGTGTGGGCCGGGCTGGTGGGGTGCACAGCGAGGTGCTGCGGGACACCCCCCACGTTGAGGGGAGCTGGGGTGTGACATCAGCAGAACCCTGTGTCCGGAGGCGGGCAGGGTGGTCTGGAGGTGGTCCCAAGCCCTCCTGGTCCTGGGGCCTGTGTTCAGCCGGTGAGGCAACAGGTCACTGTGGACGAGTCAGCGTTTGCTTGTTTGTCAGGAGCCCGCTGTGTGGGTCAACCCCGCCGTGCAGCCAGCCGGAGGGGCGCTCAGCTTTGGTCACCTGTGAGAGGCCCGCAGCCCTGCAGAGCAGAGTCGGCCACATCTGGGTGGCTTCTGGCTTCAGGGTTTGCACCTGTCAGGTGAAGCGGTTGCTGCTCTGCGGCCTGGAGTGGGAACCTGCTCCTCCAAGACGGAACCCCTCGGCTCCCCTCCTCCCTCTTCCCCACCCTGACAGCCTTGGGGACCTGGGAGGATGGCAGTGGGAGGGGTACCCCACGCCTAGCAGTTGCTGGGAGGCTCCGGAGCGGCCGCCTCCGCTCTCTGCCCGCTGGAACAGGTGCCAGAGGTTCAGCTTCCTGCCCGCATGCAGCTCACAGGCCAGATGAGTGGGTGGGCCAGTCGTTAAGTCAGCATTGGAGCCCTTTGAAACTCAAAATCTTTTCTCCTACATGATGGCAACCTAGGAGATTATCCTTGGGTGGGGCCCTGGCTCCCATCAGCTGCCTGGGCCTGGTGTTATTGGTGGAGAAACCCCCAACCCGGGCCCAGCCCAGAGAGGGCCGGAGTGTGCTGGGGACGGCCAGGGCTGTGAGTTTCCCACACGAGCTAGTGCCAAGCAGTAGGCGTTTGCTGGGAGTTGGAAAGTAAAAAGGAACCCGAAGGCACCCGAGATCCTGGCCTTGGACGCACCTGCTTCTGGAAGGCAGTGGTGGATGGTGGAACCTGGGCCACCTGCCCCGCCCTCCCGGAGCGCAGGGCCGCGATGCCCAGCTCCCCTGGGCAGAGTCGCCCTGCCCTGTTCTTTACGGGCCGGAAGGGGCGGGGCGCCCCGGGCTCCCTAATTTATTCCAAACTGTGCGGTCACTGGAGCTGACTCCATCTGAGCTGCTCGGGTGTTTCCTCTGCTTTTAAAGGAAATTATCCTTCCTTGTTCACCTTGTTTAGATGTACGTCAGAATGAAGTTTCTGGCTTTGGGTTGAAAACCAGCCTCTTCAGTTAGAAAAATAGTCGCCCGAAAGGTGTTCCACGTTCTAAGTGCTGACTGCGCCCGCTCCTGACCAGCGGCCCCCTCTGGGCTGAAGGGGACGCGCGTGGTCACTCCCACTTGGATGGGCAAGTGGGTGCACGCAGCGGACGTGCAGACACACCGTTCCAGACGCAGCCTGGCACGGGCCGCTGAGCTGCTCGGGTGACTGGAGTGGCATCAGAAAGCCCCTGGGAGCGCGGGCTCTCTGCACACGGCATCGCTAAGACTTGTCGGTCCGTGGACGTGGGACAGCCCAGCTGGAGCATCCTCGTGGGCAGCTGTTGGAGAGGCGTTTTTGGCGCTGACGGTTGCTGATGCGGTAATGTGGCGTTAGACCCTTGACAGGAGGGGAGGCCAGCTTCTGGGGCGCGCGCCTGGCCCCACCGCGCCAGGCTGCAGTGTGTAACCCCGGCTGGGTTCCGGCCGGCTCAGAAGACAGTTCTTCCTGTGTGTGCTCTGGTGCCCGTGGAGGTTGCCTGAGGTTCCGTGGCTTACAAATACCCATTTTAGGACAGTTGTTTTAAAATCACTTGTTTCACTGACTCTTTTTCACTCATCCGAAACTCTCCTCTGAACCTCGCTCCTCTGAACCAAAAGCAGGTTGTCCTTTTTCTAATGTTTGGAGTGTCTTTAGGTCGATAGCACATGTGTTTTGTGTATTTTGGGTAGAGGTAAGGGACAGTGCAGCTCTTCTCTGTGTACTGAGTTCCCAAGAGAAGGGCTCTCTGCCCCTGGACCTGGAGCCTGTGGCTGTGCGATGAGGTTCTCGCGGGGCAGGCCGCTGGGGCGCAGACGGGGCGGGTGGGCAGCGCGTCTCTCCAGCAGTTGGTGAAAACTTCCCAGGAAAGCGGGTCCCTGAAGGGGCCGAGGCAGTGGGGGTCCTGCTTATGAGCACAGAGCTGTGCAATGGTGTCCTGCCTGGGGTTTCCCAGCCTCCCCCCGTCTCTGGTTCCTCAGGGGGCCTCTGGTACAGACCCTGAAGTCTGGGGGTTGAGAATGGAGCCCCCAGCCAGGGTCTCTCTCCTAGCGTCACCCATTGGACCCAGCCGAGAACCTTTGGGAGCTGGACAAGACCCTGGGGCCCCATTTCTGATCCCCTCATTTTTCAGGAGAGGAGATTAAGACCCACAGAGAGAAGAGGGTTTACTGAATTACTCCCCAACTTTGTCTCGAGACCAGGGCAGCCGTCACCTCGGCACGTTCGCTCCTCTAGTCCTCCTGTCACTCTCTTTGGAGAGAAGGTCTGAGAACTAGGGACAGTTCCCTGAGGTCGGACCCCACCATGGTGCCCTCTCTTAGAGAGAGGCGTCCTCCTCGCTCAGACCCCAGGCGGGACCCCAGGGCTGCTCTCCCGTCTCTGCTGAGGCTCCTTGCCCATGGTGGTGGGCCCCCATTAGTCCAGGGGCGCAGGCGAGATGGGCTCAGAGCCCATGAACACGGGGCTATGCCCGGGCAACCTTCACCTCGCTGATGTGGGCGATAGACCCTTATGTGCAGGGGAGGAGGCCAAGCTCGCCGAGCGCTGCGGCCCAGGCCTGTGCGCGTCCTGGTCACCTAGGTGTCCCGCCACGTGATTCCTGGTGGTCAGGTCCCCGGGGGGCATCCCTGCCCTGAACACGGCCCATGACCTGGCTGAGCTGGCATGTCACCATCCCCGGGGGGGGGGGGGGCCACAGAACGCCTGTGGGGTGTGGTGGGGGGTCTGAGCAGGCCCCTCCTTGGCTGGGGCCTTCCTTTTCCCATCGGGTCCTGGCAGGGTGGGAGGGGCCTCGGGGCTGTGGGAATGTGAGCTCCCAGCTCTGTAAACAGCTGGTGACTCACCGCACAGCTATGCCCTGGCGGCTCCGGGCCCTTGTGTGCTGACGTGCTTGGGAGTGTGAGCTGGAACGGTCCCCGCCGGCCACCCGCCCGCCATGGAGAAGTTTCTCAGGCTCTCCCAGCCGCCGGGCTCCCGCCAGGCTCCTGGAGACTCCTTCAGCCTGGCTTTGACCCCCGCACCTGCAGGGAGGGGCGGGCCTGTGGGGTGCTCGTTGGTGCCCCCAGATGCCAGGGCATCAAGCCACTGTCAGGAAGCGGCTCTTAGCTCCCTGCTAGGGTTGCCTCAGCCTGCTGCGTGTCTGGCTCGGGCACCCGTGTGAAACCTTGCGAGGGGTGCCGAGGAGTGCGGGCCCCCGGAGGCCATACCCGGCTCGGCCCCGCTGCCGTCCTGCTCTCCACCGCCATCATTAGTACCTGGGAGAGCAGCCACGATGCAAGGGGCAGTCGGCGTCTGCAGGCCTGGGTGCCGGCCCCTCTGTCGTGTTGGCAGCCTCTGGGGTGAGGGGCGGGCGGGCCCTTGGCGGCAGGGCCAATGGGTGGAGGCCCAGGCCATGCTGCAGTGAGGGTCCCAGGACTGTGGGCGTTGTGGAGCCCATCCCCCTGAGTCTCGCTCCCCCCAGATGGAGGCTTTGATGCGGCTCCGTCTCTGGGGCCCCATTTCCCCTCCTTGGGCGCGTTTCTCTGACGGTCTCTCTGCTCAGTTCACTTCACGTGGCGTTTGGAACCTGGGGAGCGGACCCTGATCCCGTAAGCTGGCGTCAGTGTGCCAGGTGCCTGTTCCCCTCCTGCCCCCCTGGCTGCCAGGGCACCAAGGGTTTGTTTACTGTCCCGCAACCTGCCGTGTCTGCACCGCCAGCCCGAAGCCATTGTTGCTGTGGGCTTCTCTGTTTCCATGGCGACCATCAGGGGTTGGCTACTTCCCAAGGTCACCATGGCAACTATCAGAGGGGAATCATGCTTGGGATGCTTTGGCTGGCTTTTTCATGAATGATTAGAATGTGTGACACAATGCAGACGCGAAAATGAGAAGGGCGGGCGTAGGGGGGCTGGCGGGCGGCGGGGACGACTCCCGCCAGACAGTCCATGAGCGCGTGAGGTGGTGGCTCCCACCTCCCGGGTCCGGGCTGGCTGGCGTGGGGAGCCTCTGGCCACCGTCTGGGCCTCAGGTCATGGCTGTGGGGCAGTCTAGGTGGCGGCGGTGATGTCACAGCTGCAGTGCCCTTCGCGGAGGTGGGTCTGCCGGGAGGGCGGGGCCGGGCTGGGGCCGACACAGGGCTCCACCCGTCCCTCGTTGGGGTGAGCTCTGCAAGGGCAGGGGCTCCCCGAAGGGGCCCTGCTTCTCGGGGAGCCAGGCTGGGTCGGGGGTGACAGGCTTTTGGCGGGGCAGGGTGCTGCCCCTGGCCGGCGCACTGCTCAAGTGCTGGGCACGGCTGTTCTCGGGAGGGGGCCTGGCCGCTGCGTGCCTCGGCCCTTCACTGTGGCCTCCTGTGCCCCGCAGGTGCGAACGTCGGAGCTCAGAGTGGGAGTCAGAACAGGAAGCAACAGCTGCTCACACCTGGCCTCACCCCAAGGCGCTGGTGCTCACAGCACAGGCCCGGCGGGCAGCGCGGGACGGCCGTGTGGCTACCGGGCACTGGGACAAGGTGGGTCTGGGCGGCTCCCTGGGCTGATGCTGGAGTGGGGGGCGCGGCCGAGCAGAGGCTCAGGCCCGGCCAGGGTGCCCCCCTGGGGAGCTCTCAGGCCAGGCTGGGCTCCTCCTTGCTTTTGTGGGGCTGACTGGATGGCACAGTGCGAGGAGCTGAGCCTCCTCGGAGCGTCTCTGCAGTGGGACATCCCTGCTTCAGGTCACTTGTCACGGCAGCGCAGCCAGGACCTAACCACGTGCGTTTCTGTTCTGTGATCCTGCAGTGATTTTCCGCAGTTCTGTCCGGGTGCCTGTCCCAGGTTATGACGACTAACCCCAAACCGAACAAGGCGTTAAAGGTAAGGGGCCACCCCGTCTCCACCGCGCAGCCCCCTGTCCCAGGACTGCCCGGACCGTGAGGGAGGAAGGCCTGTCACCTGGAAGAGGGCGGGAGGAGGTGTCCCCGAGAGATGTCGACAGAATCGAGGGTTGCAGCCTTCGGAGACGCAGGCTTACGTCCAAGGACATAACTCCTGGGTGGAGGGGGCGGGAGGGATGGTGCCTCCTGGCCAGGATGTGCTCATCGCCCCGGCACCCTGGCGTGGGCAGTGCGGCCTCTGGTCCCGCCAGGCCCCGGGCAGGGCACGTGTGAACGGTGCTGCTCCAGCTCCCCGGGCCTGGCTCCGGCTGCCCGCCTCCTGGGGCTCTCAGCTTTGGAGGCCAGCGTGTGCCCTTGGGCCGGCCGTCTCCTGGCTCGGGAGCAGAGCTGGGTCCCGCTGGAGCGGGGACTCTCGGTATTTGTGGGCTGTGCCTCTCCAAGCCCCTCCTGAGGCCCTGCAGGTGGATGTGGCCGTGTCCCGCCAGGCCCTGGCTGGGCCTCCTGGGTCCGAGGGTGCGGAACAGTAGGCTGCCTCGCCTTCCCCTCGCTCCCCTGCCCGTGTCAGTCGTGCACCAGGCGCTGGAGACCCACAGAGGGCAGCACGCGTGCAGGCTGCGGCCTCGCAGAGTTTGGGTGGCAGACAGTAACTGGGTAATGGCAGGTGGGGCCAACGGCCCCCATCGGGGACCGTCCTGCCTTACATCCTGTGCACAATGTTGAGTGACCCCACAGTGACCGTCCCCATTCCCTGATGGAGTGAAGGCCAGCCTGCGATGCAGGGGGGCCCTGCCAGGAGCCGGGCTCGTCCACGGCAACGTTCCAAGTGGTCCTCTGGGGTCCCTGCAGCGAGGCCTCCCTCGCCCCGGTCCTGACCCCGTGCTGTGGCCCCGCAGGTCAAGAAGGAGGCGGGCGAGAACGCCCCAGTGCTCAGCGACGATGAGCTGGTGTCCATGTCGGTGCGGGAGCTGAACCAGCACCTGCGGGGCCTCACCAAGGAGGAGGTGGTCCGTCTGAAGCAGCGCCGGCGCACGCTCAAGAACCGCGGCTACGCCGCCAGCTGCCGCATCAAGCGGGTGACGCAGAAGGAGGAGCTGGAGCGGCAGCGCGTGGAGCTGCAGCAGGAGGTGGAGAAGCTGGCGCGTGAGAACAGCAGCATGAAGCTGGAGCTGGACGCCCTGCGCTCCAAGTACGAGGCCCTGCAGACCTTTGCCCGCACCGTGGCGCGCGGGCCCATCACGCCCACCAAGGTGGCCACCACCAGCGTCATCACCATCGTCAAGTCCGCTGAGATCTCCAGCTCCGTGCCCTTCTCGGCCGCCTCCTAGTGCCGGCCCCGGTTGGGCGAGGGGGCCGGCGGTGGGGCCAGAGGGGCTGTCCCTCGTGCTTGTTGGAGGGTCCCATGGGGAGCAGACCCCTGAAACCCCGAGTCCAAGCACAGGCTCCCGTGGGGCTCCTGGCGGGGCGAGGTCACAGGGGCCTGATGAAGAGTTAGGGGCCTGTGAGCCCGTGTGCCGCACGCCTGCCCACACGCCCACACACACGCACATGCACACACACGCACCTCGCCTTCCTCTGGGCCCTGCCAGCTCTCTGCGGACTGTCTCTCTTCCGGAGCCTGTGTCCTGTGCCGGGGGAGTTGGGATGTCTGCAGGGAGGGCCCTCAGCAGGTCCCTGGCCCTGTGGCCTGGGTGGCAAGGGCTCCGTCTTCCACCCCTCCCACCAGCAGCCTGTCAACACACGTCAGCGTGCCTGTCCCCCTGCCACCTCAGAAGAGCACCTGCAGCACCAGGGGCCTGGGAGGAGTGGCTGGTTGCAAGTGGTCCTGGGGGGGCCTGTGGGTGCAGGTGCATGAGTGTTGTGAGTTTTCTCTCTGTGTCGGGGTGGCCGGAAGGAGGTCCCTATTGAGGAGCAGTGGCAGCCTGGCCTGGGGACCCAGCCCCCACTGCGGCCGCCTCGCAGAGCCCGGGAAGGTGGTGCCCAGCATGGGAAGGGGGCGATGGGCCTTGGGGGCTGGGAGGTGGGTGGGGAGCAGGTTCTGTGCGGAACGGCGGGCTGTCAGCGAGGCCTCCGGAGCGGCCATGGAGCTGGGGGGCGCCCGGCTGCCTGTGGCTCCCACTGCTGGAGGAGGTGAGAGAGCAGGGGGCTGGGTGGGATCAGAAGACGAGGCGGGCTTGAATGGGGCAGAGGAGGTGATGGTGGGCGAGGTGGCAGGCTCTGGGCCAGGAAGTCCACACGGACCGGACGGGCCTCCCGGAAGCACCTGGATGGTGTGTCAGCACAGAGGAGACGAGGGGACTCTGCGAGCCTGGTGCTGAGTTCCCTGGAACCTTCACCTGCCCTTTCTGGGGCAGGTGACCTTTGCTGGGGCTTCCCTTCCTTGAGAGCCACCGCGGGGGCTCCCTGTGTGGGCTGGGCATGGACGGCCACTTCTACCCCTCCTGGGAGGATGCTGGGGCCACGGCCCTGGGTCTGAGTGAGCTGCTGAGCCCCATCACTGGCCAGAAGCCGCTGGGCTCCAGCTCCCGGTTTCCTCTTGTGCCCTGCCACCCAGGGAGACCCCCAGCAAGCAGGTGTCAGCCATGCCAGGGTTGGGGGAGGACTGACAGCCCCAAGGGCTGCGTCCAGCTTCTGTGTCTGCTGGCAGGAGCAGACAGGGCACCTGGGCCTCTCCAGCAGCATTGCCACATGGCCTTGTCCCTGTCCTGGGAGAAGGCGGAGGGTCTGGGGCGCTGGATCCTTACACAACCTGGTGTGTAACAGAAAGGCCCGGTGTGTAAGCAAAAGCTGTTGATCGCATAGCCATGGTAGGTAATCCACATTGGATGTCAATAAGGACCATGGGGAAATATTTAAAAAAGAGAGAAAAGTATATATATATATATATAAAATTATATACACATTTTATCGTACAGACTTTTCGTAACTCTTTTCCTGTTGGGTACTGTCAGCCTCTTAGAGCAGAGCAGCCGTCGAGGGCAGGGCAGTGGGAACCTGTCGCCACCCCGCCTGGCTCCTCAGGCACCAGCTCGCAGCCCGAGGTGGGAGGCCCGGTCGCCTCCCGCTGCCCTTGGTCTCCCCTCCTGCCCATCTGACTTGGGTCCCGCAGATGGCCTGGGCACCTGGGCGCACCCCCTGCCCACCCTGGCCGGCTGTCCTGCCCAGTGGCCGCCCCGGGTTCACAGAGCGCCCCGTCCCGTGGGGTGCAGGTGGGCGAGTGCTGGCTGGGGCCTCGGAGGAGCTGTCCCCGCAGCTGCCCATTGCCCTCCCGGGATCAGGGGCCAGGGAAGGAAGACTGGCTCGCTCCCTCCTGCTTTTCTTTTTGGATCATTGAGATGTCATTGTCACAATTTTAATATATGGGTTTTTTATTTAAGACAAAAGGCAGGGACGTCTTTGTGGCGTGGGTTTGTCCTCCTGTGCTTCTGACTCACGAGTCCCTGACACCCGCAGGGCCTGGCCCCCCGGGGGACGGGGCCTCCCCTTCGTAAGCTCGGCACCCACCGGTTTTCCCCGCCTCTGCCTGCCCAGCAGTTTCATTTCAATATTTATTTTTGTGCTGCTTTTATCATGATATAAATTATTGAGAAGAGACCTTATGTCGTGGCCCACACCTGCCCTGTCCCCTCACGGCCACCACCTAATTTATTGCTGTACATCTCTGCTGTGACGCTTTTGTACCTTTGCAATAAAGACTTTTCTGGTTTCAGGTCTGTCTCACTGTGTAGTGGGGGCTTTGGGCCAAGACCCCCAGTACAGGGCCCGTCCTGTCCGCTTGGTGTCCTGGGCCGCTGGAGGCCCCCACGTCCTCCCCAATCACCATAGGCCTCTCAGCGCAGGTCGGCTTCCCAGGCTTTAAGGTCCTGTCAGGACAACTCTGGGGTGGCTATCGGGTCACTTTCTGGACAGTGAGTGGAGTTCCCGGAATCCCGTCTGTCCTGACTAGGACCCCCAGTCCGTGGCCACGGCCACTCCTTTCCCACTGGGAACAGCCCCTCCCCTGGGCGATGTGCCCCGGTCACCAGGCAGGCCCCTCACCTGGGTTTGCTGGGCTGGGGCCCGGAGATGAGCTTGCGGGACGCTGAGAGAGAGACGGTCTGCCTGGGGCAGGGGGCAGAGCACCCTGGACGGTGGCCTAGGGTCAGCACACCCCCCCGAAAAGCCAGAGCCAATGGAGGGTCCTGTCCCCTCGGGATGCTGACCCCTCCTTTCCGGGCCTTCCGTGGTGGGCAGCCCCGGCCTACTGTCCCTGCGAGGGCAGGGGGTCAGCACTTGGCCTCGGCCTCGGACGGAAGGCCAAGCTCCCAGGGAGATCTCAGGGCTTCTGAAAGCTGCCGGCCTCCTGCTCCTCCTGTGCCCGAGCTGGCCAGGACTGCGTCGTGTCGTCACGGAGGGGATGTGCATCGGTGCCCTAGCTTCTGAGTGTCCTGGGCCAGTTCCCGGCCCCCTCCAAACCTCACGCCCCGCTTCTGTGAAGTCAGGGTGGGGATGAAAGTGCTCAGCACAGTGGGGTCCCTAGCCCCGAGCTTGTCAATGGCAACCATAGATGTTTTCCCCCAGCCAACCCTGGGAGCACCCCCAGCCCCCGCCCACTCCTCCTTGGGGAGCCCCAGGCGGCGGCGCTGTAACCAGAGCTGGCAGCAAGCCTGTGGGTGTGAGGTGGGGAGGCGCAGACCCCGGCCAGCGCTGGGCTCTGGGGAAGTTGCTGAAGGGCACCCTGCCCCCAGGCTGCCCAGCTGCTCTCTGGCTGCTGCCCTCTGGTGTGGATCACCGGGGCCATTTCACAGATGAGAACCCCAGGGCCACGTTGGAGAACCTGGCCGGAGCACTGGGACCTGCCTGCCTTGGCCATTCCTGGCTGCACACAGCTGAGCCCGGCACTGGAAAGCCCACTTTTTCATCAGAGATGGGGAGATGTCCCTCCCTCCCTCCCTCCCTCCCCTCCTCCTCGTCAACACCCACACTTCTCCTTCGGGAGGTGAGGCTGGCGAGGCCGGGGCAGCACCATTCACCTGCTCTGTGCCTCTGCTCCTCCTGCAGGCTGCAGGAGCACCGGGTACCGTGTTTTGTCCTGACAATTTACTTTGTTTTGTCAGAAAGAAAAACTTTGTCCACAGGTCGAGATGTCTGTGGGGCTGGGGTCAGTGCAGAGAGCTGGCCTTTGTGAGCAGGCCTCACTTCTTGCCGGCTCTGTGACCTCAGGTAAGTGCCTCAACCCCTGTGGGCCTCAGCCACCTTCCCCGGGATGGTCGTGAGGATTAAGTGTATGTGAGACGTGTGGTCCAGTCCTGGACACACAGCAGGCGCTCAGTCAATGCTGACTGCCTCCCTTCTAAAGGCACCGAGAAGGCTGTCCCCGAGCACACAGTCCCGGCCCAGGGGCTCCCTGCAACCAGGAGCCCACACTGGGTCTGAGTCTCCAGGACGGGGTCCTGGCCCGCTTTCCCTCTGTGCACACAGCTTTGGGCAACTCAGACCCCAAAGGGGTGGCCCTCTCGGGGACAAGGGCCTGCGGGCAGCCCCGCCTCCCCGTGTGCACTCCCAGCGGGGCCTGGCATCTTGCCTCTGTCCTTCGGCCTCCAGGAAACCTCCCTCCTGGGTCGGCTGGTCTCCGGGGAGCACCGGGCCCTCTCCCAAACCTGTTGGCTGAGTTGTGTGGGGGCCTGGTCGTGGGTCGCCTGGGGCTCAGGCAGCCGCAGAAGGCACGATAAGGCAGGTGGGGGACGTTCTGGCCGGGCGGCAGGCCGGAGGGAGCCCTGGCGTATCTTATCAGGCAGCCCAGCTGGGCCTGGGAGAGGCTGCTGGCCTTGAGTCCCAGGTCCCCAGGCCCAGGGGACAGGGGGTGACACCTGGCCTGGACACTGTAGGCTAGTTCCCGCCCTGCCAAGTCCCTCTGAGACACTCGGCACCTTTCCTTCTTTGCCTGGTGACCTGGGAGTGGGCGGCCAGGAGGGGCATGAGGGAGGGTCGTGGCTGGGTGGCTCCCGCCAGGCCTTCCTGCCTTCTGTGCTGGCCTGGCCAGCCTGCCCTGGCTCCCCACGCCTGCGGGCTCCCGGGCGCCCAGGCCCCTCTGCCCTCTCCTCTCCTGGCCACAGGCCCTCCAGGAGGCTCCATCACTCCCCAGCTGCTGCTGCTTCCTCCCCTGTGTTTCTGAGGCTGCTTGGGGCCCTTCGCAGCTTCCGGGGAGGCAGGGCCTGTGTCCCAGGCTCCACTCTCCCAGCTGTCCAGGCAGCGGCCTGGCACACGGAGGGAGGGAGAGGCCAGGCAGGGCGGGGGTGGGGCATGGCAGGCTCCGGGTACCAGCCCCGTCCACGCCCTGCCCTCTCTGGGCTTTGCATACGTGGCCTCATCCACCCGCTGTGGGCGGGGCTGGCAGGAGGCCCCTTTCACGGAGGAAACTGAGGCTCTGGGTCTCAAGGCAGAGCGGGGTGCTTTGAGCAGTGCCCGGGGCCGGCGGCCCCAGTGTGGACTGGACCCTGCCCCCAATGCCAAGACTTAGCACTATGGACCTTGTTTGACCACCTCACCTGGTCCATTCATGAGGGCGCTGACCCTGCAGGATAGAGGCCACTAGAGTCACTAGAAAACGCAGCTGTTTATGTACAAATGCATGTGATTCATGGGGGGAAGCCCGCGCTCCACTGGCGGCCCTGGGCAAAGGTTCTGTGCAGCTGGCCTGCGCAGCCCCCGGACCCATGTGGGGCACACCCCCGGGTGGGTGGGGGCTTTCCAGGGCTCCCCATGGCTGGAGGGTGTGTGGAGCTGCAGTGTCCCTTCTCTCTCGGGCCCAAGGGGGCCATGCAAGGCCCAGCTGAGTCACCTGCCCCCACCAGCCTGTGTGGACCCCACCCGCCAGTAGTGCCTGAGGCTCCAGGCCTCTCAGAGCCAGGCTGCCCAGCTCTGTCCTGGCCATCGTTCCCCGCAGATGGGACCTGTCCATCCAGGGAGGCCATGCTGGCTCCCTGTCCCCTGGTGGCCACCTAAGCTGGTGGTCAGGGGAGCCCAGCCAGTCCGGTGCTCGTCAGGTCAGCTCGAGTGCTCTCCCCTGGGACTGTGGGCCCGCCGGCGGGAGGGAGGATGGGAAGTGGGCTCGAAGGGCCTGGCAGGAGGTTTCCCCGGAGAGGCTTGACCTTTGGCAATAGGGTTGGTGGGTGAGGGGCCCTGTCCTTTCCCAGAGGCCTGGGCCGTCCGTCCCCAGCCAGGCGTCCAGTGACCCCGAGGCCATCCCTCCTACAGCTCCTCCTCGGGGATCAGCATCCTCTTCTCCAGGTTACGGCTCTTCTTGCCCCCACCAGGGCCACCGGCCACACTGGGGTGGGTGTCGGGCGAGGGGTGCCTGCCCTTGCCGGGCCCCAGGGCCTCGTGCGTGGCCTGCTGCGTGTAGTGCTGGTAGGCAGGGGAGAAGTTGTGGATCGCGTCCTGCACGATGTCCTGAGGGCTTATGGTCTCCTTGAGGCCGCTGGAGATGCTCTGCATGGGAGCTGTGGGGGCTGGGGGCGAGCAGCACGTGGGCGGGGGCCTCCCTGGACCCCTCCTCTCCCGCTCATACACCCAGCCCTGGAGACACAGCCCTGCTCCCTGCCAGCCTCGGGGCTGCCCAGGGCTAGGCTCTTGCGTCTCTAGGTCCTGGCCTCGGCCAGCAGAGGGTGACTCCTGGGACCCCTGAATCCCAGCCCAGCTCATCCACCCTTGGCTATCCCAGCCCAGAGCCCCTGCCAGGGGCCATAGAGGGAGATCCCTTGGCTGGTTCCCATCTTCTCTCCAGCCTGGGGTGAGCCCTTCACACCCATGGCCACTCCAGGCTCACCAGAGCAGCCACAGGCCATCTCTGCCCAAATGGACACCAGTACCAGCCAGCCCCTAGCTCCTCTCATCAGGCTGGTCCAGACACCTGGGTGGTGGGTGGCACACCCCGGGCTTGGCTGGCACCGACCCCCTATCCCGGCAAGGTCCTTGGGGCCCAAAGGTCCGGTCCAGCCCAGCTCACTGAGTGCTCAGAGCTGCCTGCCCGCCAGCTCCTGCTGCCAGCCTGCCTGGTCTCTTCCCTGAGACCAGATGCAGACAAGGTACCTGTCTGCGGCTCGGGCCTCCTGTGGGGATGTCTCCCTGTCCATCGAGGTGACAATCCCCAGGCCCATGTGCAGGACGGGGACAGAGATGCAGTGCTGAGGGCGCCCAGAGGAGGCAGGGCTGGCCATGCCCCAGCGCAGGCCCTTGGCTGCGATGCCCCAGGTACGGCACCCCCCACCTCCCAGCTGGCAGGGCCGGGCGTACCTGGCAAGTTCTCTTTCTTCTCCGAGTACACCTGGCAGGTGAAGGCATAGCGCAGGGCAATGGAGGCAAAGAGCATCTCGATGCAGATGATGAAATTCTGGTAGCCAGCGGCCACCGTGCCGGCTCCCACCTTGCTCCCGTCGATGACCTGGACCTCAGGGATGGCCCCACACCTCTCCAGGATGGCCAGCAGCATCCCTGGGGGATGGTGACCGCCACTCAGGCACCCACCCCAGACAGGGGGCTGGACTGGAATGAGCCCAGCCAAAAATCCCTCCGAGGCTGGCCTCACGGGCTTGGCGGGGGTCTGCAGGGGAGGAGGAGCTTCAGGCCCCGGCAGATGCTCCTCCGGCCAGCCGTGGGACAGCCTGTCCACACGGTCCCATTTCGGGGAGGGGGAGGCTAAGGTTCAGAGTGGCCGGGTGCCTCCAAAGCTGGGGTCTTGGTACAGAAGCTCCCCAAGTGCCCGCCCTGACCTCTCCACCCCTAGAGTGGACCTGGGGCCCACACTTTGCATCCTCCTCTGCAAAGTGGGGGCTGGGAGTGCCCACAGCCTAGCTCAGGGCCTGGAGAGGAGGACAGGGTCCCACGGCCCCTCTGCGTGTCGGCTCCACCCACAACGGGCTGGACCCACGTCGCGGGGAGCTCGCCATTTCCCCTGCACCCAGGAGCTTTATGGCTTCCAGCTGAGAGAATTGACTCATGCTACAGCTGGGGAAACTGAGGCAGGGCCTGAGGGTGCCCAAGGATTTGGGGGTGGGGGTGGGGTTTGAACCAGGCTCTCCGGGCTCCAGCCCCTGCCTCACAGCCCCACACACCCTGCCAGAAAGAGAGGAAGATGACGGCCTTGATGGTGAGGAACTTGAGGACAGGCTCAAAGGGCCGCAGGAGCTCCCTGGTGGCGAAGTAGAAAAGGAACAGTGCGTAGAGGGCCAGGCTGACGGAGACGTTGTAGATGAGGGTGACATAGAGGTAGCCGCTGTGGATACTGGGACAAGAGCAGGTGAGGGGGTCAGACGGGTCCCGTGCCCCCCTGTGCCCTCCCCACCTGTGTCAGCTGTGCTATTGGCCTCTCTCCCCCGCCCCACCCGGAGCCTGGGCACCAGCTGCGACCCAGATGCAGACCGTCCCTCCAGGGCGGGCGGACGGCACCTGAGGGGAGCGGCCGAGGAGCTGGGGGGACGCCGGCAGGGGGGCCTTGCAGGGAGTCTCAACACAGCGGGAAGGATGTGGCCCTCTTGCCCCCGCACCCTCCCGGGCACAGCCTGAAGGAATTGGCCTCTATGCTGTGACACACAGGTGTGCTTGTGCCCGTGCGTCAGCATACGTGTGCGTGTGCGTGTGATCATGTGTGTGCGTGCACGTGTGCATGTTTTATGTGCATGAGCCTGTGAGTGCGTGGGGGAGTCCGTGTGTGTGAGCATGTGTGCACGTGTGTGTGAGTGTCCGCACACATGTGAGCATGGGTGTGCATGCATGTGTGGTGTGTGCCGGTGGCCGTAGCTCCTTCCAGATGGTGCCAGCTCCCCTGACGCTATGTGCCCGGGCGGAGCTGGGCTTGCTTGGTGAGTGCCCTTAAATCCCGTTTTGTTTTCCTTAGGGGGAGAGTTGGGGGGCCCCCAGGGCACACGCGAGACAAGGGCCACTCCTCTGGATCTGTTTGCCTGGGGCTTGCCCAGGTAGTTTCCCCGAGAGGAGGGGAGGCCTGTCCCCACATCTGGAGGACTTGGGATGTGCTGAGCCCTCCTCCCCACCCCCTCCCTGCCTCCCCCCTCCGCCCCACTGGCATCACCCCGGCCTTACTTGAAGTCCCCATCGTGGTATTTGCCAAACGCCTGCAGGATGATGGTGACCAAGGCCATGATGGGTTTCACGACGCAGAACTGCAGCGTGGCCTGGGACGGGGGAGGGCGTGAGGGGGATCCACACGCCCACGGGCCCGGGAGTGGGGGACGGCGGCAGCTGGGCACACTGGGCAGCAAGGGCTTGGAAGGGCAGGGCCGGGTGACGCCCACCCCAGCTCACCTGCTTGCAGAAGCGCAGGAACCCGATGGAGTAGGACCTGCCGCGCAGGCAGCAGGTGCCGTAGAAGCAGCTGGACCTAGGGGGCAGCAGTCCTGAGGGGGGCTCAGAGGGACCTGCCCAGACCGGCGGCTGCCCTGGGCGGGGAGGGCCCTCTGGGCTCCAGGGTGAGAGCTTACCGAATGGGCTTTCCCCGGATCTCAGCCATGATGGCACTCTCGCCCCCGAGGTACTGGAAACAGAGGCTCAGGAAGCTGTAAATGACAAAGGCTGCCAGCAGGGGCGGGGTGAGCAGCTGTGAGCCTGGGGTGTCTGCAGGGGCTCCCCCCCACCGCCTGCACGAAGGTTCCCTGACCCCCCGCATTTGACCCACACAGGACATATGGTGCCCATTTCCCGGAGGCCAAGCTGAAGCTCAGTCACACAGCAAGACCTGCCTCTCGGGGACTCCCAGCCCCCCCGGCTCTGGGACCATATGCATCCTGGGTGTCCCCAGTGGGGCGGGGGGCCTGCAGGAGTCTCTGCTACTCTGAGGCCCCCCACCCCATCTAGGACCCCCCATTTCCCCCATCCAGGCTCCGGGCAGGCCCAGCTGCAGCCCCCTCACCTTGGGGGCCTGGCTCACCCTTAGCGTCCCTAACCCTGGTTGTTGGTGTCCTCCCCCCAGGGGCCTCGCTAAGCGGACTCAGGCCTGGAGGGTGGGTGCCGGGGCGGACAGTGGGAGCGCCCCCAGGAACCCCTTACTCAGCTGCAGCATGCTGCCCAGTCTCGGGACCCCCTGGAGCCTGGGGCCCGGGCGCTCACCCTCATAGCAATCCCGCACGGAGTCGAAGTAGATATAGCGCTGGTGGGCCCCCAGGAGGAGGAGGCTGAGCCAGGAGTCGAAGGCATAGATAGGCACAATGAAGAGGAGGCGGATGATGTAGCGCTGCTCGTTGGGGACTGTGTAGGAGCGCAGGTGCAGGTAGATCTGGGCGAAGGGAGCAAGGGCGGCCTATGGGGACGGGCCACCTGCCACCCCGCTGGGTGGGCCAGCCCGTGAGAAGGAGGGCCACTGAGAAGAGGAGCCCTCCGCAGTGGAACGCTCATTCACTCCTGCACTTGCTCATTCATTCATGTATTCATTCATTCAAGGAAACTCTCCCGAGTGGGTATGTACATTCCAGAAGGCAGTCTGGCATTTCAACTGGGGGCGTTCAAAGGGCCGATTCCCTCTGACCCCTTCTAAGGATTGATCCCATGGAGTTTGTGTACGAGGATGTCCATCATGCGAGACGCAGTGGGACCCCGGGCGTGGCGGCGGGCAGGGCTGATCCCACTGGTGCCACCTCGCGGAGGGGTATCATGCAGCCAGTAAAAAGGGTGCCCCGGAGCGGGGAAGTGCTCTGACGGAGCACGACAGGTAAACATCGAGAAGACAAACCAAGTCGGACCCCAAGTGTGTTGAAAATCATGGTAAAAACGAAAGGAAAGATGTTACCCTCTCGCCCCTGAATGATAGGAAAATATGGGCGATTACAGGTCGTCTGTAAACCTCTCTAGATTTTCCACGTTTTCTATGAGGACACGAAAAACAGTGACAAGGTCTTTAGGAGGAAGAGGCACCAGGGAGCCGGGTGCCCAGGTGGCTGGCTGTGGTCCCACAGCACCTCTGAAAGGCTTCCTGGAGGAGGCGGCTGAGCAGAGGTGGAGAGAGAGTGGGCGAAGGGCAGGCTGAGCGAGGCCAGCCGGCACCCAGCTTCCAGGACACAGCACAGGGAGTGGCGGGGGCGGCTGGCGCCAGGGACGGGCTCCTTATCAACTGCTCACTCCCCAGCAGGTGCAGTGGGAAGGGCACAGCGTGACCAGACACCAGGAGGCCTGAATTCCGCTCCTCGTGCTGGCTCTGCCTGGCTGGGTGGCTTTGGGAAGCCGCTGTCCTCTCTGGTCTTGGTTTCCTGTCCTTAAAGCAAGGGGTTGGGTTCCTTTCTGTCCCCTTGGGCTCTGAATGGGTGCAGAGTCTGGGACCAGGGTGGGGCCCGGGAGTTGTAGCCCGTGCAGGCCATGGGGCCCCAGGAAGCACAGACACACATGCATAGCTGGTCCCCAGAATTACAGAAGGTCGGGACTAGACAGAGGGGGACCCTGGGGCCACGACTATACCCAGGACTGGGATGGCCCCCACCCAGGACTCTGGGTGCCTGCCCCCTTGCTGCCCCTTGTCCTATAAATCGCAGCCTACGGCAGACCTAAAACCGTCCCACCACCAGAGAGTAGGGCATGGCTTCCAGGCCAATGCAAACCACCCACCTGTCCAGCCTACGTGTTGATCCCCGAAGGCAGCTTGGCAAGACTCAGTGCAAACACTGCCTCCTCCAGGCAGTCCTCCCTGACAGCCCCCACTGGAAGTGCCCGCCTCCTCCTGCGGCTCTCAGCTGCCCCGTACTCCACCTGGCCCATCCTTACACACCTGTCCACCTTCTGTTCTGGTTCTTCGAAGCACTTGGCAGGCGGCCTTGAGAGGGGCCTCTACTCATACACCCGTGCCTGCCAGTCTCCTGACTGCCCCCTGCCCCGGGCTCACCCAGCCGCCACATTCCCTAGGTTGGTGCCTGGCTCTGCTCACAGCTCCTGCCTCAACAGCCTTCCTTGGCTCCCCAGCACCCCCAGGGCTGAAGGCCAAGCTCCTGCACGGGTGTCCAAACCCCTCTTCCGTGTCCTCTCCCGGGCCTGCACATGAGCTCCTGCCCCAGGCCCCCGCTCTCGCCTCTCCGGGTGGGCAATCCTCCCTGTGCTTCTGGTGTAACCGAGAAGCCTCAGGACCTCAGCTGCCCACCCCCTGTGCCCGGGCACTCCCTCCTGCTCCTGCTCCCTGACTCCCCCTGGCTGCTGGGCCTGGTGGTCGGTCTGGGGGGCTGCCTAGTCTCCGGGCTTGGGCAGGTATCTTCCTCACGGGGTGGGGGGCGGGCAGCCCCTCCTGGAGGCCTGTCCCCGCAGCCACGCTCTGACCTGGCTCCGGGCTCTTGGCTCCCTCCAGAACGAACCCTCAGCCCTCACCCGCCTGCATGGGGACACCGCGTCTCAGGAAGGGAACGGACCTTTCCCCTCCCGGCCACGTGGGCCTGGGAAAGACCGCCGGCCTCTCGTGGCCTCAGTGTTCTCATCTGTGAAATGGGACAACACTGATGACCTCCGTGAATGGGGTAAGAGGCTGACCAAATGCTCCGGGGGAAGGGCCTGGCGCCCGGTGGCGCTCAGTGCTCTGCCCTCTGCCTGGCAGGGACCTCCCGTCTTCGGGCCTAGTTCCCACACGCCACGCTCTGGAGATGGCCCCTCCCCTGCCTGACCTGTGCCCTGGGCTGATGCCGCCTCCGAGAGCCCGGACACTGCTGCTCTGTCCAGCCGGACCTCTGACACCTGCCCCGAGGTCGTCGCTGGAGTTCCCATCATCCCAGCAAGGCCGGCCAGGGCCACGTCCCGTGGGGAGCAGGGTCCTGAGGGAGGTGCAGAGGGAAAGGCTTACCTGGTGGCAGGTGAGCACCAGGGCAGTCCACACGAAGATGCCCGAGACGCCGCGGGCCAGGGCGGTGGTGAGGAAGAGCCGGGAGGCAGCCTGGGAGCCGTTCGCCACGCGGTCCATCTGTGGCCCGGTGGGCACGGTTGACATGGCCGGCGGGGAGCTGGGCTGTGGCCAGGTTGTCCACACCAGGGGGGCGCCGGCCGTTCCCAGGAGCCCTGAGGTGTTAGCCATCTGCAGAGGCGAGGGGAGGACACGGCCGGGGAGGAGTGAGGGCAAAGGTGCTCCCGGATGGCTGGAAGCAGCCCCAGTGTCAGTGACGGGGAGGAGGGAGTGGGGCAGGGAGGCGCCCAGGCTGAGCGGAGCACGGAAGGGGCTCCTCCTCCAGGCCGTGGACGTGCCCAGGGCTGCCCTGGGCATCGGTTACCGTCCCCTCCACGACCACCTCGCCCACTTCCCCTGGGCGCCCTCCATGTGCAAGGACCCAGCGCCAAGGCCCCAGCCTGGGGCTCCCTCCTTCCCCGAGGCTCAGCCACCTGGGCACAGACATGAGCCACCTGCCTGACCCGGGGCGGTCCCCACCTCTGGGCCCCGGGCTTTCTGGGAACCCACATTTTAGGGGCCAAAGATATCCGAGGAAGTGGGGGAGCCCCTTTGCTCTGCCTGCTCGAGGTGGCGTCCCGGCACCTGGCCAGACTGGCACTGCCGGTGGCAGCAGATGGCGTCGGGGGAGTGCAGCCTGCCCCCCCCCACCACAACTGGCTCCCTGGGACCTGCCCGGCCGCCTGGGTGCCCAGCTTTGCTACGGGGCCCTTGGCTGCCCAGAGCCCACTCGCTAGCCTTGAGTACCTGTGCTTCAGCCGCTGGCCAACCTGCTGGGGCGCCAGGACCCTCTCCTCCCGCGCTTGAGGCCCTGGCCCGGCCTCCCCAACTCTCTCCAGCCTTGGTCACTGGCCCAGCACCTACCTCTCTGGCAGGAAGCTCCCAGCCCAGCCCTGGGAGGCCCGGCCTCCAGGGAAGCCTTGCTGATCATTCGTGTGGCCACGTGGTCGCCACTGGCAGCCCCGGCGGGGGTGGAGCAAGGCCACTATCTGGAGGCCGTACCAGGCCCAGGGAGGGGCAGCCACTGCCTCACTCTGGGGTGGCCCACCTGAGCTCCCGGCTGTGGGGAGGGGCTGAGGAGGAGGGGAGGAGCCGAGGGCTGTCCCCTCCCGCCTGTGGACACTCTATCCCTCCTGGGCAGCTTACTCAGCAGCAGCTGGCTCCCAGGAACCTGCTGGCCGCCAGGTGCCCTCGCCTGCCCGTGCCAGACGGCCCGGCAGCTGCCGCCTGGGCCCGAGACAGGTGGGAGGGGTCTGCAGCGGATCAGGCTGGGCTGGGACTGCACAGTGGGTCCGGGTTTCCCTTTGGGGTGATGGAAAGTTCTGGAAGGAGATGGAGGTTGTGGCCGTATTAAACACTGCTGAGTTGTTTACTTAGAAATGGGTAAGTTTGCTACAAGAATTTCACCTCAATTTAAAAAGCCTGGTCCCCAGGAGGGACACGGGAAACATTTCTGGCTTTTTGTGGGGAGGGAGTGACAGACAGGGCCCTGAGCCCTGCTCGGGGCCCTCACTCACCTGCCCCACTCGGTCAGGCCTGTGCCAGAGGCCCCTGTGGACAGCGGCTCGGCCCCCTCGGTCTCCTGGACGTGGCGGCAGGGTGGGGCCTCAGCCGGTCTCTTGGCCCTGCTCTGGTTACAAATGGGTTTGTGCCTGACACGGGACCACACGTCCCGGTCCTTCCTGCCAGCTGGCCCTCCCTGCAGCCCTGGGACATCTGGGTCAAGGCCCCTTTTCGGGGCGGGAATGGGGAGCTCGGAAGCTCCTCCCCGTGTCCAGGGTCGCCCAGGGGTACAGGACGGTGCAGGGTGGGGCTGTCAACCCCTGGGACACACCACTCAGCTTCCCCACCCCTCCACCCACATGGTTGCCCACAGGGACAGCAGCTCAGAGGCCTGGAAGGGTGAAGACTCAGATATCAGGACACGGACGGGGCTGGCAGGGACCCACTCGTGCTTCAGGAGGGGAAACTGAGGCCCAGGTCCTTCCGAGGCGGATGCTGTGGATGACTGGGCGTACCGCAGGACACACTGTGGTTGGATGTCAGAAGGACTTCCCTAGCTGGGGTGACCGGGGCCAGATGGACCGTGGGAAAAGATGACATGTTCTGATGCGGCCGGTTGCAGGCCAGGGGGGAGGCCTGGTAGTCTCCCTGTCCCACGGCTCTGTCAGTGGCGACGGGGCTTTGGCACCAGACTGAGCTTGTTTCTGGCACCTGAGAGTCCCTGAGCCCTGGGAAGCTCTTTCTGCTCAAGGCTACCCCCTGCTCTGACGGTGGAGGACAGGCCACCTCCCTACTGGGGCACTCCATACTGTCCTACCCTGTGTGTTTCTGTCCAGCCGCTGCCTCCAGGAAGGCCTCCAGAGAGCCCTGGCTCTGAAGCCGACCTACTCGAGAAACCCTCACCTGCTGCGGGAAAGGGCTGCTGGGGGCTTTGGCCCCGCCCCTCCCGCCAGCCTGGCCCCGCGTGCATTTAATAAACCCGGGCTCCGCGACCAAGGGAGGCCTCCGCTGTCCCTACCACCCTCTCCTCTGGCTTCCTGGCTGGGTCCCTCCAGAGGAGCCTCAGCCCTCAGCCTTGTCCCTCCACCCGGGGTCTCAGCCACTGTGGCAGGCCCCTCCCCTCTCTGGGCCTCTGCTTTCTTGTCTGTACGGGTGAGTTTGGGGTTCTCTGGCTCCCTTCCCGGGGCACAGCAGGCAAGTCCTTGAAATCCCTGGGGGCCTGGACAGCCCCCTGAGTTGCCTGAGCTCGGGGGAAGGAAGGCCCCCTCCTAGGACCCACACCCGGGAGCAGGACCTCCGCCAGGCGGGGCTGAGCCAGCAGGAGGCCATCGGGGGAGACGCTCAGCTGGGAGAGAGCAGGAGCCGGGCTGTGCTTGTCTGGGCACGCTGGACAGCAGGTGCCTGGGAGGGCCGGGAGAGACTGACTGTTTGGCTGTCTGTGGGCCTCTCTGGCTGAAGGAGACCCCAGCCCCGGTGGCCGCCAGGCGGATGGGGAGTGCCAGGTGACAGAGAGAGGAGGTGACATCTGAGATGGCAGGACAAGGAGTCATGGCCCGCGCCCACTCGGGAGAGGTGGCCAGGCCGGCCAAGCCTGATTCCTGCCCCGGGGGGCTGGACGCTGACCGAGCCTAGTGCAGGACAGACCTGCCCGCCCAGATCTGGGCAGCTGGCACGTCTGACCACTGTTTACAGTGACCAGGTGACTGGACTCCTGCCAGCCCTGGGCTGGGCTCTGGGATGACTGAGAAGCCGTGGCCTGTGCCCGACCTCAATGCTCTCGGGCCACCGCCTGCCTTTCACCCCGTGGCCTCACGCCCATGGTTCCTCGGCCTCGCTGCTGACATCCAACCTCCCACCTGGCCAGCCCCTTCTCAGCCGGCCGGCCTCCTGGGGACGTCTCTGATGGGCCTGGCCGCTCTCCCACAGGGGACGGTCTCTCCCCTCCCTCCTTTCCTGCCCCGGCCCTCCCAGCAGCTGAGGGCTGTCCCCTCTGGGCCCGCAGAGATGGGGTCGAGGACCATCCCGGCTCCCCGCTGCCCCAGGCCAGCCATACCAGGTCCTGTCACTCTGCCCCGGGGCCTCCCTGCTGGGCCTCAGGGAGCGGAAGAGAGGCCTTGCCACTGAGCTTCCGTCCTGGCCCACACGATGGCCACTGACTCAACTAATACCCACCATGGCCCTGGGCCTGGAGGTGACTGGACAGGGGCTCACCATTGGCCAAGGGGCCTGGTGCTCAGGCCTCTAAGTCAGACACGTGGGAGAGGGGAGCAGAGAGGGGAGAGGCAGAGGCTGGGCCACAGGGGCCCCCATTCCCCCAGCACTAACCTGCCCGCCTGGATGACAAGTTCCAGCCTGGCCACCCACCATCCTGGGGACTCCGAAGCCATTCCTTCCCTTTCTCTGGGTCCAAGAGGGGCAGGGGCCCGAGGGTCCTTCCAGCCCTAGTTCTGGGGTTCCTCTTGTGGTGGACGAGCAGGGCAGCATTGCCTCCTGGTGGCCAGGACGCCCGCTGCTCCCCTGGGATGGGACACGGGGTCCCAGAGCTGGGGAGGAGCCGGGCCCTGGGTTAGACATGTGGGTTGGGACCTAGCCTGGCCACTCACAGTGTCTGTGACCTTCGGCAAATGCTGGGCCTCTCTGAGCCTCAATTTCTACCGGTGATTGGAACCCCCATGCAGAGCTCCAGTCAGAGTCGGGGCTTGGGAGGCACTGGCCTCCCTGTCACCTGTTCCTCTTAAAGGTGGCTGCAGGCTGCTGCAGCCCGAGAGAGCTCGGGCCCCAGCTATCTTGGCTGGCCTAGCGTCCCGCCAGGCAGGTGTCCCGCAAGTGGACTTCTCTCAACTTCTAGGCCACAGAGCAGACCACCCGGCCTGCGCGGTCAGCCCAGAGGGACTTTACTCCCTTCTTCCCACACGCCGCCATCCTCTCTGTCCTGCCCATGCCTGGCCCATGTCCCCCCGCCGACCTGTGGCCTCAGTCCTCAGAGAACACGTGTGTGCCCAGGGCCTGTCTGTACCTGCCCTTCACCCCGGAGTGAGCCGCCAGCCCTAGGGGAGACCCTGCCACGTGGGGCTGGGCGGGGCGCTGACCTGGGCCTGGCCTGAGACCCTTTTTGGTTACAGCTGGCATTTGGGGCCTGGCAGGGGGCACGGCCTCTGGGTATGGAGGGGATGGGGGCAGAGGGGCTGTGACTCTCAGAATTCCAAGTTGTGGGTTTTTTCCTCCAGGAGCCCCCACCCTAGTGGGGTGCATGGAGCCCCAGCCTGGACACCACACACCTCTCGTAGGTGTGTTCACATAGACACATGCACACACACGTGCACACACACATGCACATGTGCATACATGTACATGTACACATGCACGCACACAGCTCACCTCCCTGGTGGCTCCCTCGGCCGTCCAGCCACGGCCCTTGACCAGGTCTGTCGCAGGCCTTCGGGCCTGAGAAGGGGGCCGGGGGTGTCCACCCTCAGTGGGGTCTCCAGCTTCGGTTGTCCGTCCTCACAGCAGGCTGCTCAGTCCCAGAGCTATTGTTCCTGGGAAGTGCTGGTCTTCCCTAGACTCAGAAAACTCCCTGCCACCCAGCCTGCCCGCCCTGCCAGGCCGGCCCTACCTGCCGGGTGCAGCCCAGGGCACGCCCTCAGCCAGGCCCTGCCCCGATTCAGCGACTAGCCAGCCCCCCCATCCACCACACAGCTGGCCGCAGAGCCTCTGACATCTGGGTACAGGTCTTGTCCGGACCACTGACCAGGTGCGGCTGTGGGTCTTTCATCTCTCTGGCCGTCTGTGTGGCGGGGTCCGATGCCCTCTTCATAAGGTGCAGTGGGGCTTAAATGGGGTGACACACACACACACAAAAAATGGGGTGACACACAGTCCTCCACACCCGGATGCAGCTGTGCATCCTCCTCTCTGCTCACGCGTCTTCTTTTCCTGTCTCCAGTCCCTTTATCCCTCGACTGCCCCGAATCAGGGTGCCAGACGGAGTCTTGGGGGCCTCAACCCACTCGTTATGGGGTGACCACGTGCGGTGGGCCTTTCCTGGGCCAAGAACCACAGTCCTCGGGCGGCGGGGCAGGGATGAGCTCCGTCCACAAAGGAGACTGCGGGGTGCAGGCCCCCAGCCAGCAGAGAGGTGCTGCGACTCGACTCTTGGCTTGTTCCCCCTGTGTGGTCCCAGCCTCGGTTGTCCCATCTGTGAAGTGGGCTCAAGGATCCTCACGCTCCTGGCTGGGGTAGGGGTTGATGGCTGAGGGCAGAGGGTGCATGTCCTGTTTGCTGGCCATGGGCCTGCGACATCCCGCTTGAGGCCTGTGTTTCTGGGTTTCTCTTGCTTGGAGATCCCCCGTCTTTCTCTCAATCTCTCTCCTTCCACCTCCTGCCCCTCCTTCCTTCCAGCTGCCATGTTTCTCCCAGGGCCTCCCCATCCTACCTTCTGTCCAGCCAGGAGCACTCGGCCACGGCCCTTCTCAAGGCCCAGGCATGGGTGGCGGGCGGCCTGGTTCTAGCCATCCCCCCAGAAAGCAGTTCTCAGCTCTCCAGGCCTTCTCTCCTCCACTGCGCGATGGGGCGCATGGCTCCCTCAGCCCGCCTTGCTTGAGACACAGAGCCCGCGCAAGGAGACTGTGGGCCACTGTCCTCACACACACACAGCACCCGGCTGCTCTCGCCTCTGCCCTGGGCTCTCTGGGGACCCGCTGGCGAGACCGTCCTCCTCAGAATGTCCCCAAACTTCGGCTTATTTCTAAAAACTTCTCTCACCTCCCCAGGACTCCAGGGCCTTCCATCTCCTCACAGTCTTCGTGGAATTTACGAGTCCTCCTTTCACCCCCGAGCTGCCCTCATCCCCACACGAGACACGGTTTGTCCTCTGTTCTCTGGCTGCGACGCCAGACGATAAACCCAGGATGACAGAGCGCCTCCCTGCAGTCGTCCTGCATGTCAGTCCGGTTCCTCTGATTTCATCCTCATCGACGGGGCCATCATTCTAGTCGCTTCCCCGGGCGCCCCTCTCCTGATTTCCAATTTCGCTCCAAGGCGCTAAACTCAACAGCCGATGCCAGCTTCCTCGGCTGGTCCCCGTGTGCCGCTGTCTGATTCCATGCGTTATTTGTCATGATTCGGTTCAGGTGGGACCAGGGCTGTGTCAAACCCCCGCATAAGCTGCTCAGGATGCTAACCAAGAGCGGCCGCCCTCTCTGGCTTCTTACCTCCAAGGGCACCCACTCGCCCTTGGCTCTGAGCTGGAGCCGCCTGCCCCTGTCCACTTAGGAAATGGAGAGAGCAGGAGGGAGGGGATCTTAGGGGGCCTCAGCTTGCAGCTCAGCAGAAAATCATGTTGGATGAATCACACCGCGTGGGTCCAGGGACACGGCCTTGAAAGAGGGAAATTCACCCACCCATCCGTGCGGCAGGGGCTGGCGAATGAGCCCGATGTTCGTTATTTACACTCGGCTGTAAATTGCTGGAAGTTCTAATTACAGTTTGATCGCTGGGTAAGCGCCATATGCAGCCTTTCCATCCAAAGGAATAACAATTTCCACAGAGCAGACAGCCCTGCCTGCGGAGATGCCGGCTTTACAGGGCTGTTTATTGGAACATGGATCTGTCCTTCTGAATTATGGCAGCTGGGAGCAGAGCACCGCGGAGAGCGAAGGACCCAGCGCCTTTCCGCACGAATCCCGGGTCGTGATTTATAAGGCAGAGCAGAGCAGCAAGGCGCTGGCTTCAGCGATGGAAGTGTTTAACCTCAGTCTGCCTTTTTTAAGAGTTCCCAGACAGCTTCGGGCAGCTGTAAATAAGTAGCACTTGGAGAAGGTGCTGGGGATCCTGGTTTCAATTATACGTCGGTTCCACCACCACCTTCGGGGCGGGGCAGACAAGGGACAGTTGCAAGTCCAGGGGCCACAGCTCTGTGTTGACATCCTGGGGCCACCTCTGACCACTGGGGCATCTCCGAGTGACTCACTTCGTCTTTCTGAGCCTCAATTTTCTCCTCTGCCCACCTGCCTGTTAAGGGCCATCACAAGGACTGGATCAGATGGTACAGTTGCCGCCTGGTTTGTAGGAAGCCCCACAAAAAGCGCTGAGTCTGGGGCCGGCCCGGTGGCACAGCGGTTAAGTGTGCACGTTCTGCTTCGGTGGCCTGGGGTTCGCAGGTTCGGATCCCGCGTGCGGACATGGCACCACTTGGCAAGCCATGCTGTGGCAGATGTCCCACATATAAAGTAGAGGAAGATGGGCACGGATGTTAGCTCAGGGCCAGTCTTCCTCAGCAAAAAGAAGAGGATTGGCAGCAGTTAGCTCAGGGCTAGTCTTCCTCCAAAAAAAAAATCAACAAGAGCGCTGAGTCAGAACCAGAGAAGGAGCCAATGTATGAACGTCAGTGAGGGGCCTGGGGGGTGGGTGAACAGCGTGGACTCCAGGACCCTCTGCCCCGGTTCAAACCCCAGCTCTGCCACTTGGGGTCTGCTGTGACTCTCCGTGCCTCATTTCCTCATCCGTAACATGGAGATGATGAGCCTAATGACCTCACCCGGGTGTTGTGTGGACTAAATCTGTCACCACGCGAGCGAGAGGGTTGGCCTGCAGTGCCTGGTCCCGGCCACAGGCAGCGTGAGCTAGGCCTGTTGTTATGCATTTAGGGACCAGATCAGAGCACCACAAGCTACACAGCCGGGTTTAGGCTCAGACGGGAGCCCCATCCATGCCCCAACTCCCCACTTGGTAAATGAGAGAGGCCACGGTTCCACGGACAGAACACCTGATGTTTAGATGACAAGTTGAATAATTACAGGCTGACGTTGAGCTAAGAGACGTCTGCCCGATGCTGCTCCAAGGGATTAATCTGACGAGGCCATGCCTGGGCTCCTGGACTGTGCCCCGTCCCCCGGTCCCTTTATCCTGCAGTGACTTGAGCTTCAGACCTGTCACAACACACAGTCACCTTTGAGGCCTCACTTGTGTGTGGACAGTCCTTTCCTGTCTTCCTTGGTCGGCTCTTTATGCCCTTGAAATTCGCATTGGTCCAGGTCCTCCAAGAGGCCGATGCCACGTGGGGCCCAACATGTGGGATCTTATAAGGGCACGTGCGGGTGTGAGAGCAGGCAGAGAGGGAGCTGGAAGGTTGTGGGAACCAGGAGGCCGCGGGTCGAGTCTACCCGAGGGGTAGAAAGAGGATGGTGGGCAGGAGCCATGCTGTCTGGGGAAGATGGGGCAAAGCTGTTGGGAGCCTTGAGCCAAAGTTGGCCGCAAAGGAGGCCTGCGTCTCCCTGGGCTGGGCCTGCCTCAGTTTCCCCTGGTGTCCCCAAAGCATGCAGGCACTAGTAGGGGGCGGCCTGGGGGACCTCAGTCACTCAGGCTCCCTGCAGCAGAAGCCTGCGAGGTGCCTTTCCCGCCCAACCGGCACCTCCTCCAGGAAGTCCGGCAGATTTCCACGTGTGACTCCTGGCCCTCCTCACGCTCTGAGGCTGCCCCGTCACCCAGACGCTGGCCTGTCCCTGCGGGTTTAGCCAACTGTGCCCTGGACGAGACTGTGAGGTCTGCAAAGACAGGGGCTGTGGCTGACGGTGGCCCCATGGGGGGCACAGAACGGGGCACACACAGCCGCTCGGTTTTGTGAGGCAGCAGCCCTTGACTGTTTCCCTCTCTCTCATCTTCAGCAAACTCACGCTCCACGTCACTTGTAAATTGGCCCCACTGTTTGCACCAGTCTCCCATGGCCTGTTCCAGAGGGATTTCTAAAACCAAGAGACTCAGGATTTCAGAAGCTGTTGGTGCTGAGAGAAAGCAAATAAAGATCCCTCTTCTGATCTCCGGAACGCACAGAGGCTGCACGCTGTTTCCTCACGTGAACCCTGAGCGGTGACTCCTAAATTCCCAGGAGGGCGTCCCGGGTGCTCCCTCTATTCTGGGGATCCCAGCAGGCTCTCTGCTGGAGGCCTGGGTAGCCACAAGCCGACTTCCGTGGCGTAAATGCCATCCTGAAGCCAACACCTCACCCCGTGCTTCCGCCAACCCTTGGGATTATTTTCAAAAGGCAAACCGACCTGATCTGAAAGCCTTTTACTGGTTCCTTGCTGAGCTCAGGATTGAGTCCCAAGGCCTCAGCGCAGCACAGCAGGCGCTCTGCCGGCTATCCATGGCCTTGGATATCCATGTTGGGCCAGCCCGAGCATCCTGTGGTCTGATCTCAGCAGTATCCTTCGATCACTGTGCTTCTCTCACCACTGAGGATTCCCTCCCTACATAGCCTTCCGGGGCAGTCACTGGCTGCCTCGTCTGTCCCACCCGGCCCTCCCCTAGTTGGCCCCATGTCCGTGGGCTGACACGTATCTGCTCCCTAGCTTTTGAGGACGTGGCTCCGGAGGCTGGGTCTCCACCCCCGCCCTAGCACGGTAACCAGCACATGGCAGGACAGACAGAGACGTCTGTGGAATGGAAGTTGACAGCCACCCAGCTCCCCAAACTCGCTCAGAGGAGTCGCAGGAAGAGGAGGTAGACAAACAGTGTGCACAGAACCCGCTCCTGGGACCCAGCTCATCCGTGTGGACCACAGACTGCACTCTTGCCACAAGTTTCCCTCCCACCTAAGGCACGCTAACTGAACCTGCGCCGTGTGACTGAAATTTCTCAGCATTGTTAAGAAGAAGGATGAAGTATATCAGAGATGCATTTATTTTTAATAAAAAAAAAAATTTCCTCCAACAATTGACACAGCACATCGAGGGCATGATTCATGCCCGGTGACTCATTCTTTCAATTCTCAAATAGATGCAACTATTTGGACCCTGGTGAGAACCATTCACAACTCCCCCAGACACAGTCCACGTCTGCCCTCCATCCATCGATGATCTTGGTGACCAAACAAAGTAAGAGCTGCCCGAGACGTGCAGTTACTCTGGCTTTAAGGGCTAAAGGCAGAGAAAGTTCCTCCTTGCGACAAGCTGAATGAAGAGTCTTCAAATCATCGAGGAGGTGTCTGAGTTTCCACTCGGCCCTGCTGGGCAGCAGGTGCGGCTGCTCACGCCGGGGTCACCACACCTGGCACGTCTGGATCACCTCCTTCAAGGCCTTCAGCCCCTCCATGCTCCTGTCCTTCATGGCCATGGCCAGGAGGACTGCTCTGTTTCCAGCTTCTTGGGACACAAACGTCACCAGGTTCTTTGCAAAGACGTGGATGAGAGGCTGGGGAGGGAAGGGAAGGAAACCACTTTAATTGCAAGAAATGTGTTTCTCCCTTAATGCCTTTGTTAAATATCCCCTAGGAAGCCACGCTGGCTTCCTCACCACCGTCAAATCCCCCCATAACCTCGATTCCGAGGTCACTGAGACTCTCGGCACAGCCCATCATAAACACACTGCTGAAGAGGCATCATTACATTCATTTCCTCAGTGCCTTCCGACTTCGTCTCTCATCTGGAAGGACTAATGAAAGACAAGTCTGCAGAGGGGAATCTGTCAAAACCTCACAGGCGATCTTTTCAGAACGGAGCAGGGACAGCCGCTCATTACCGTACATATCACGGCAGGGTCAAACCCAGAGGGAGCCTCACATGACAAAATCAATACCTCTGCTTGCCTGCCAGATAAGATGCTGATGGGCTGGGAAAAGCATCCCCACAGGCAGGCGGATGACCTCGGACCCACAAAGGCCTCGGAAAAAGCTGTCAGCCCCGGGGTGGGACCCTGCCTACCAGACACTGCGCCCCTATTGACAAATTATAGTCACGAAAGCGACCGTGGGGATCCCTCCCCACCCGCTTTACCTCGTCCTGCCCCAGGAGGACTTTAGTGGTGAGCATGGGCTTGCTGAAGTCACTGGCCACATTGCTGGGCTCCAGGGAGACCAGGGTACCCATCTTCCCGAACTGGGTCACCACCACCAGGATGTGACTGCTGAAGGCTGTGCAGACCACCTGGGTGGGGACCCCACACACCACCTCGGTCTTCTGTTTCGATATCACCAACGGTTTGCCTTCCATGGCTGGGCCTCTTCAAAGGCACCTTCAGTTTACGGGAAAAAGAAAGCAAAGGACCAAGTCAATCACACGAGGTCAGATCCGCCGTGGGGCTTCAAATCAAGAGCCCCCGGATTTTATATTACAACAGAAACCCACGGAGGCCGGTTCAGAGCGAGTGTCCACCCGCTCATCAGGCTTCACCCGGGGCCTTCCGGATTCGCGGACTGGGACACACGTGCGCACACAGGCGGGCTGTGCGAACACACTTGTCTCCGCACGCAGGCGGGAGGAAGTCGGTACCCGCGCCGGCCCGGCGGTCCGCGTTCCTGGACGACCCCACCGAGTCCCGCGGCGCCCATGGGGCCCGGGCCCGGGAGTCGGCCGTCCCGCCGGGGGAGGCAGGGGTCGCAAGTGCACCGCCCGGGCCTGAGCAGGGGCCCCGCCCCCGTCGGCTTCTCTCCGTGTTTAGGGGAAACCACTGGGCCCGCGGGAGCCGCAGCGGCACTCACGGGGCGGCAGACAGGGGGCGGCGGGGGCACGAGAGGCCCCCTGGGCCGCCCACCTTCCGCGGGCCCTACCCGGCCCCGCGCCAGCCCGCCATGCTGCCCGCGCTCACCGCGCCGCGCCAGGAAGTGACGCACATGGGCGACGCGGGGCCGCCCACTCGCGCCGCCGCGCCGCCGGAAGTGCCCCCCTGCGGGGCTTCCGGTTCTCAGGCCGGCGCCTCCAGGTCCCGGAGCTGTAGGGTTCCGAGCTCGCGGGAAGCTCCCGGCGGGGCGCTGTGGGACCCCGCCTTCAGCAGAAGGGCCTCTGCCCTCTGCAGGAGGCGGTCGTCGGGCCCTCCTGATAGGGACCGTGCGGTCCGGGGAAGCTCGGGGGTGGGCTCCGGCCCTGGACTCGGGCTCCAGGCCCCTCCCAGCAGGGAGCTGTCGAGGGGACCGGCGCGCGGGGTCGGAGCCCGACGCGGACCTCGGTCAGGGCCCAGCGCAGTGCGGCCCGCGGGCCCGAGGCCGAGGAGCGGGGGGGCGAGCGGGAGATGACCCGGAGGGGACCCCGGGGCCGGGGGATGACCTAGAGGGGACCCGGGGGGTGGGAGGATGACCCGGAGGGGGTTTGGGGGGTGGGAGGATGACCCGGAGGGGACCTCGGGGCCTGAGGATGACCCGGAGGGGACCTGGGGGCCAGGGGATGACCCTGAGGGAACCCCGGAGTAGGGGATGACTTAGAGGGGACCCAGGGGGCGGGAGGATGGCCCGGAGGGGACCCCGGGGCCGGGGTATGACCCGGAGGGGACCTCGGGGCCAGGGGATTCCGGCTCTACCAGCCGGGTGCGTGGGGGGAGGGGACTTGCCGAAGGCAGGCGGGTGCCCCCATCCCCCAGGGATGGTGGAGGGTGAGGATCGCCAGGGGAAACAGAGCGATCAGTGCAGAGAAGGGGATTCTGGCTAAAACTGGAAAATGCAGAGACAGCCCAGGAGTCCAGAAGTCAGGGCCCAGCCGGAGGAGCTTGGGAGCCTGGGCAGAGTTCCAGGAGAGGACCTTTGCAGAGCCCTCTGCCGCGAAGGAGTGCGCAGCCCATCTGGGATATCCTCCTGTGTCCAGGGAAGTAATAGGAATGGCTCACGTGTGTGTGGCACTTCGTCTGTGCTGGACATTGTTCTCGTGCTTTATTTACAGTAACTCTTTGAACTTAAAAACCCCGTTGATTAGAAACATCTCCGTTCATACAGACGGGATGTTCAGGTTCGGAGAACTTGCCCAGGGTCAGAAAGCTGAGAGGGCTGGGTCAGGCCTGCAAACCCCCTTAATTGCTGGTCTGGTGACATGGTGCCCAGGTAAAGGGCAAGAGGAGGAACTGGTGCTGCCCCCGCAACAGGATTTCTGGTTCCTCTCCAGGGACCCTAAGAGCTCCCCGCTGCTTATCCGCCTTTTCTCCCAGCTGAGGGCTTTATTAGCAGGGTGGGGGAGTCTTGTGCTGATACTGCCGTAATTTGAGCCTGGAGACCGTTCCTGGGGGGATAAACACCCCTTCCACACCCCACCCCCGGAAGCCTTTCTGTCCAGTTTGCTGACAGCCCTGTCCAGGCGGTTTCCCAGAGCCTGGTCTGTCCACGCTGCTTCACCCCTCAGCATCCCTAATGCCTGTAACTCCTTCCCCACGGTTTAATGACTCCCTGTACAATCCAGGTCAGGTCAAATGAGGCACGCTCCTTCCAAGATGATTTCTGGTGACCTGAAATAAAAGGCGTGTATACAAAACATCAAGATAGACACAGCAATCAAGAGGAAACTCGTTTTTGAGCTTTCTGGCGGCCAGTACCAGAGGCAAAGATTGTGGGTTTCACTGTTCCAATCCTCAGGAAGCAAAGGCCTCTCCGTTTCTCAGGAGAGTCTAACTTTTGGTTGGTTCTAAATTTGAACACACATCCACCCACACACCCCCCAAAAGCAAATGGACAATGTACTGCTTTGCCCTGTGAAACCTAAACAAAGTTGGTTCACTTTTATGCACCTGCTCATGCATTCTCTCTGTGGGCAAATAGACACGAGAAGTCTGACCACCCCCCCGCCCCAGCCCTCCAAAAAACCTCTGAAATAAACTTGGCACCTTTGTAAAAGAGATGTTGAAGAACAAAGTGGATGATGTTTTGATGACACTTAAGCAAATATGTAAACACTTGTCATTTGGCTATTTTTGGGTCTAGATCTCTGAGTGGGGGGGAAACGGGAGGTGGGAGGTTTGCCCCAGGCTGGGTGGTGGCAGTCCATGGAGGGGGCTTCCCGGTGACCTAAGTGGTTAGAACTTGCACGCTTAGAATGATGGAGGAGGAACCCGGTGCCTGCTGTTGACTGTTCTCCTTTGTGAGGCTGTCGTTGGACCAGAGAGAAAGATCCCTTTAGTGGATTCACTTAAAATGGGAACGAAATAGTAATAGTGTCAAGAGTGGGCACAAGAGTGAGAATTTATCATGAAAAGCGGGGAAAAAAGAGGGGGGTGAATACCTTGAATTTGTCTTAGAGTCAAGGAATTTTAGGTTGCGAATGCAATTATGCATTAATTTGTAGAACCAAGAAGGAATTAATCAAGTGTTGATCTGGCAGGATCATAATTTTTCCGGCAAATTGCATGATAGCTTAATAGATCACCCTGTGCGTGGTGTGTGATTTTCCCAGCTCCGTTATAAAGAGGTTTGGCTTTGCTAAAAGGGATGAGGGCGCCATCAATTTTCCCAAGAGCCTCTCTGAATCCTTTGATATTCAAATCACTTCCTGTTGAAGTGCGGTGTCCCGCCACCAGGCCCTCCCACCCTTGCCGGTGGCTTTGGGCTTTATCTGAATATCCCTCAGTATTGCTCTCAGGGGCATTCTGAAATCTTGCATCTCTCCTAAGATTTACGATCAGGCTTTCCACTTGATCTGCATGTACTCCCACAGCTTTGCAACATGATTTCCAGGCGTTTCAACGTCCAGTGTGTGAGAGATTCCACCAGAGGGATGTTTGAGTGGAGCCCAATTGTGTAAGTGGTCAGTTCATTAGTGAAACTCTGTTAGGACGATTTCTGTTTCCCTCTGCAGCCTCATGAGCGCAGGCACTCGGGGAACCCAACGTCACCCCTCAGGACCTCCTGGGTGTGATGGTCTCGGGGTGGGTAAGTCTTCGGGCTTCAGAATCAACCTCTTTGGCCCCTTGGTGCTTTGTGGCCACCTGCCCTGTCAGCCTCAGTTTCCCAGCTTAAAATCCATTAGGATTCTTTGAAGCGTAGGTGACAGACACCCATGTGACCCCATTTTACGCCCCGAAAGGGGAACAAATGAGCTCATACAACTGAAAAGACCCAGAGACCCAGTTTCTCTCTCCGTCTCTCCACTCTGCAGTTGTGCTGGCTTCATGCTCAGATGGGCTGTCCTGTGTTCTGGTACAATCGCCAGCCTCCGCTCCCCAGTAGCTTTTCTTTCCCAGTGTTCCCAGTAAACGTTCCAGGATTGAATCTCCTTAGACCAACCTGAGTCTCATGCCCACCCCTGAAGCAAACACTAAAAAAATAAGTGAACGTAGGGGCCAGCCTGGTGGTGCAGTGGTTAAATGCGGACGTGCCGCTTCAGCGGCCCAGGGTTCGCTGGTTCGGATTCTGGGTGCAGACATGGCACCAATTGGCAAGCCATGCTGTGGCAGGCGTCCCACATATAAAGTGGAGGAAGATGGGCATGGATGTTAGCTCAGGGCCAGTCTTCCTCAGCAAAAAGAGGAGGATTGGCAGTAGTTAGCTCAGGGCTAATCTTCCTCAAAAAAAAAAAAAAAAAAAAAGTCAACGTTGAAGCCACTTCCCGTGCATTTGGGAGCTAAAAACTACTTCTAAGTAATGGATGCGGAAGGAGACATCATAAGTAGAAATTACAGAATAGTTGGAACTCCCCACTCTCCCTCCCCCAGGCCCGGGGAACTACCCACCTGCTTTCTGTTTCTGCGGGTTTGCCTGTTTTGGACACTTCCTTGAAATGGACCCCTGCACCGTGTGGCGTTTGTGTCTGCCCCCTGTCATTCGGCAGCCGGTTCTGGAGGTTCATCCACACTGTGGCCCGTCTCAGTGTTTTATTCTTTTTGGAGAAAGTAATTCTTGCTGAGTAACTGGGAGGGCTCGATGATGTCACATCTGACAAAGGGCCTTGTTTAGGGCCTGACACACGGAGGTTGTTTAGTAAAGCTTCCTTCCCATCGTGAGTCACTGGAATCCACTGGCGATACCGCATTCCCGGGCCCTCACGTGACCAAGGGCTCCACGCCCTCTGCACTCCAGGCTTTTCAAGGGGCAGGAAGACGAGGAGTGGAGTGCTAACCCATCTGCCTGGTCCCCTAAGTCACCTTGATGGGACCAGGAAAGCAGGCACCAATGGCTGGTAAGGCTATGAGATGCACAGACCCCTCTCTGGAGAAAGGCTGTGACGGTGTAGACGCTGGACCGCGCCAGCCCTATCAGGGCATACATTTAGAAACAGGCACAGAAGCTGCAGAGGCGGCAAGGCCAGCACAGCGACCTTGGCCTTCTAACCGCTGTCTGTGGCTCTTTCTCTGCTCGGCGACCCTGCAGCTAAGGACAGAGAGAGACTCCGTGCTCTCTCGATCCGGTTTTACCCCCAGCCTCACCGCTGCCTTTCCTTCGCCCCAGCTCGGTGTGACTGAATCTGCTGGCCTGGCTGCGAGCCTGTGAAGTCGCTTGTGGGTTACCGTGTCCCCGCACACAATGGTGGCATCAAGTGGATTCCAATTCTTAGTCCAACCCCCAGAGCCCCTGTGCACAGCAGAGTGGAACCCTGCCCGGTCCTTCGGCGCCATCCTCTCATCTTCCGGCGCTGCGTCAGACGATGCTCTACTGCTATGCACAGGGCTTTCATGGCCAATTTTTTCAGAAGTGGGTGGCCACGTCCTTCTTCCTAGTCTGTCTGACTCTGGAAGCTCTGCTGAAACCTGTCCACCACGGGTGACCCTTCTGGTATTTGAAACAATGGTGGCACAGCTTTCAGCATCACAGCCACACGCA